TTTCCTCTCCCTAAAAGTTTTCCATCAGCATTCCCATAATTTGCTTTGCTGTGCCCTCAAACCCCATGGCATATTGATGGTTGTGACCCTTGACACCATGAATCTAAGGACCAGTTCTTTGTGGAGTGGATCTAGAATACTCATGATTCCAAACCAGTTCACTCAACCAGAAAGTACAGCCAGCAACAATGATGAAGTGATAGAAATGATGATGCCATATGGGCCCACAATTGATTGGAAATGTTTGGGCTGTTTTCTTGATTATACGTGATAAGAGAACCTGCTGTATTTTGTTTAAAATCTTGTTTATTTTCATATTAAATGGTACGCCTATGAAGAAGGGGCTTCTTTAGTTTTTGGGGGAAGAATTAATAGTTTATGACTTTTTTGTTCAGTATTAGCATGACTCATATTGTTAGCCAAAATCTGTATTTGTTGGCTTCAAAATATTTTGATATAGTTTAATAAAATTTCTGCATACATATGAATTTTTCTTTTTTTTTAAATACCTTAACAACAACTAGTGCTATGGAAAAATACATTTTTTAAACTAATAAATATCTCCAGGGGAACAAAATATTACCAGCAGTCAGGCCAACTGTATTACCAGTTTCAAAGAATACCTTTTAAAATGTGACACAGAGAAGGTCTAGCATAGTCTCTGGCCCCTCATTTTATGCTAAGGTATAATACCCCTCATGATTATTATTAGAAATCTGGAAGCAATGATGATGTTGCTTAAAGTGCATCTCTCTTTTCCTTTTCCCTTTCCTTGGCATTCTGTCTACACTGGGGCGTAGTGATGATCAGACTCTGTTTAACAATTCAACCTTCCCTAGAGCCAAGTTCCATTCTCTCTGTCTCCTAAGAGGTCCATTGTTATCTGAGAAAGGGAGGCAGTTGACCGACTCTCTGCCCTATTGAGTTTGTGCTATTTGTGATGTTAGTGAACCCCCTTGCTCCCCACAGTTTGAAGAGAGTGAGTAATGCATTCTTTCCCTATTTGCCTCAAAATCACCACATTTTTACAGATCAGTGTGCACTTATACATTCCCCACTCTCTCCTAGTTACATCTTTCTTTTGTTTCCTCCAAGAAGCTACTTCACAAGTTTCTTGGGCTTTTCCCATTCCCTGACAGGTCGCTAAAGTTGGCAGTATTTTTCACCAGCCGTAGTCTCATTTCCCAGTGGAGTTTGGTTTCAGAGCACTTTTCTAATGTGCTGGTCAGGGAGCAGCTTCCATGGCTTACCTGGTCAGGCTTCAGAAATGAATATAGGAGGTGATTAGGAACAGTCAGCATGGATTCACCAAGGGCAAGTCATGCCTGACCAACCTGATTCTCATCTATGACAAGATGATGGGTTCTGTGGATGCAGGGTGAAAAAATGGATGTGGTATACCTTGACTTTAGTAAGGCTTTTGATACAGTCTCCCACAACATTCTTGCAAGCAAGCTAAGGAGGTGTGGGTTGGATGAATGGACAGTAAGCTGGATAGAAAACTGGCTGGATATTCAGGCTCAGAGAGTGCTAATCAGTGGCCATGTCTACACGTGCTATTAATTTGCATTAGGCTTACTGAGCAGTAAGTCTTTCCCAGAAGCATGTCTACATGTGCTCCCTGTTGGGAGCAAATTTTCTTCCAACAGGAGCAGCCTGGTACAGAGCTGCTTCTGCCCTGCTCTGCCTGCCTGCAGAAGCCAGAGGTAGCTCAGGCTCCACTGGGTGCTAGCTTCAGGGCTGGCAAGGGGTATGAGGCTGGTCCCAATGCGCTTAGAGCCAGGGGAGCTCTGCTGGTTGCAGTGGCAGCTGTCTCCTGGCCCCATGAACATTGGGAGGGGACCTGATGTGCCCCAGGCCAGAAGACAGCTGCAGTGGACAGAGCTCTCCTGGCCCCATGTCCATCAAGATGCACAGCTGCCAGCGAAGCCCCCTGCTAGGTATGGTGGTTTGCTGGGAGCTGTCCTACTTCTGGGGCAGCTACTAGTGAGCCTTCTGCCAAGAGGTGGGACATGGGGCTTGCCAGCAGCTGCCTTGCTTGGGTTCCCAGCCCGCCCACCTCCCGGAGCACCTCTGTGCAACATGGAGCTGGCTCCTCTGGGGATCAAGCAGGGGTGTTGCCTATCTCCCAAGCAGCCAGCTCCAAGCTGCACAGGGCTGCTCCAGGGGGTGGGTGGGGGCTGGATTCCTAGCCCCCACCATTTCCCCCTGAGCAGGCAGCCCTGCACTGGGAGCAGTAGTACATATGCTAGAGAGTAGGCCTAGGATTTAAAAAGATCTAGACAAATTGGAAGATTGGACCAAAAGAAATCTCATGATGTTCAATAAGGAGAAGTGCAAAGTCCTGTATGGAACATCCCAGGTACCGGTACAGGCTGGGGACTGCTTGGCTAAGCAGCAGCTTTGCAGAAAAGGATCTGGGGGTTGCAGTGGACAGTAAGCTGAATATGAGCCAACAGTGTACCCTTATTGCGAAGAAGGCTAACAGCATACTAGTCTGCGTTAGTAGGAGCATTACTAGCAGATGGAGGGATGTGATTATTCCCCTCTATTTGGCAGTGGTGAGGGCACATCTGGAGTACTATGTCCAGTTTTTGGTCCCTTACAGAAAGGATGTGGACAAATTGGAGAGTCCAGCAGAAAGTAGTGAAAATAGGGGGCTGGTGCACATGACATATGAGGTAGGCTGGGAGATCCGGGCATATTTAGTCTGAAGAAGACTGAGGGGGGATTTAACAGCAGCCTTCAACTATTTGAAGGGTAGTTCCACAGAGGATGGAGCGGGGGCAACAACAATGGAGAGGAGCCACAGGGCAGCCCGGGTGTGGGCTCTGGGCGGCTGCAGCAAGAAGGGCCTAGCAGTGGCGAGGGGTGGGGCACTTTTCCCCTGGGTCCAGCAGTAGCTTTTGCCCAGCTGCTGCTGCCGCCGCTGCTCAACATGGCCGGGAAGTCTGGAGCAGGTGCAGCACAGGCAGGGTCAGGGCTATGTGTGCGGCTTCTGGCTAATCCACAGCTGCTCTGCTCCACTGGGCAGAGTTTAGAGTGGGCGTAGGTTGGTCTGAGATTGGGGCTGTGCATGCAGGTCCCCACCAGCATCAGAGGGCTGTGCACTATTGATGGTAGCACACAGGCTTCAGTCTGGTGCTTGGGAGGGGAGGTGCTGACCAGTTCATAGCAGTTCCTCAGAACTGCCTATGTGGCCCGTGGGCCCAAATAATTGCCTGCCACTGGGCCATGACAGATGACAGAACAAGGAGCAATGGTCTCATGTTGCAGCAAGGGAAGCTTAGGTTGGATATTAGGAAAAAACATTTTCACTAGAAGGGTAGTAAAGCACTGGAACAGGTTACCTAGAGAGGTTGTAGAATCTCCATCCTTGGAGGTTTTTAAGACCCAGATAGACAAAGCTTGGTCTGGAATGATCTAGTTAGCATGGTTCTGCTTTGAACAGGGGGTTGGGCTAGATGGGCTCCTGGGGTCCTTTCCAACCCTAATTTTCTATAATTCTGACTACTCATCGAAAGCAGTACAGGCAACCCCCGCTTAGCACTTTTAATTGGTTCCTGAAAAACTGAGAGTTAAGTGAAACCAGCTTTCACTTTCACTTTCTAAAGCCACCAAAATCAGGGCTGCCAGGATTAGTTTCAGTTTCAGTGCCACCTGTATGATGGCTGTGAGCATTATAAGGACACTTGCTAAGTGCTAAGTGGAATTGGGTATCAATGTAAAATGAGCGCTATAGTGAAATAACACTAAGTGAAACAGCGTTAAGCGGGGGTGGCCTGTATCCTGTGGCATCTCTAGTATTAGGATCCCAGCATATTTTTGGTGTTTATACTGGATCAGGCCACAGGCATCTTGGCCTGGTTCTTCACAATGACCTTGATCCACATCTTCTAGTTTACCAGCACCTGCTATGGATATTCACACAGGATTTGACTAGGGTGAGAGTAGTGCCAGAGTCCTGCCACCTCATAAATGTCTGAGAGTCAATTTTCATTGGTTTGAACGTATTTTACCCTCAAGCGTACGTCAGGACACAGACCCAAATGGATGTGGTATGAATTCAGTCATGTGTATACTGTACTCTGGGGCTATCGTCCATTAGTTAGTCTGCTGAACTGGTGGAGGCAGCATTCCAGCCCCATCTGGCCTGGTTACTAGAAAGTTATTTTGCTGTGACATTGTTCCAGTTCCCTGATGCATAATCACTGGTCAGTTTGGTGCCCCAGCTCCTAAGAGCTTTAACACCTTAAATCAGGGGTTAGCAACCTACAGCCTGCAGGCTAGATCCAACCTGTAGAAGCCATTAGATCTGGCCCATGAAGCTATGGCCTCACTGGTGTTGGCAGCCAGGCGGGGATCTTTCCTATGCTATGCCATAGCCAGGTGGCAGTGGGAAGCGAGGCAACAACCAGGTCCTAGCACTAGCTCGCCTTTCACCCAGGTTGGACTTTTGTAGCCTGCCAGTGGAGAATGTTGCTGACTGCTGCCTTAGAAATTTGGAGTCTCTTCTAGGGCTTGATTTGGTGCTGTCATCCTCCTGTCTTGGGTTTCTGTGTCCCCGGTTGTGATCCAGGCTTGGGCTAGTCAGCCTTGTTTTTGGTGATAATATGCCTTTCCAGTAAAAACAAATAGAGCCTGTGTTAGTTTTTTTCTGGGGGACAGAGGTGGGAAAGTATGTGTACTTAAAATAGAAGTTATTGTAGATATACATTACACTTTGACATAAAGAAAATTGCAAAAATGTGGAACTAGAAAAACTGTGAAAAAGTAAATGGGGAACTTGGAGTTTGTGTTTAATTTTTCCTGGAAGCCCTGTGACATTGATACATATTGCTAAAGCAGCAACATTCCTTTCTCAGTTTCCTTTTTTCTAGGGAAATTTGTTAAAATTTTGTTATTTAACTGTTTAATCTCTCTCTCTCTCTTTCTCTCCTTCCCCCTCCCCCCATCTTCCCCTTCCCAACTTCCTTTACCACCAAAATGTACCTTTACAGAAGCATAAAGTAGATCTTTTCTACAAACTGCGCCATGTGATGAATGAGCTCATTGACCTGCGTAGACAGTTACTGTCAGGTCACTTGACACAGGATCAGGTGCGAGAGGTCAAGAGACATCTCACAGTGCGGCTGGATTGGGGGAATGAGTAAGTACAGCTACCATTTAGGTACCATCTGGTTTAATTCATTTGAAATTAGTTGTCTGTAATAGATGAGAGGCAAGTGTTTACGTGGGTGATACTTTTATGGCTAAGTAAGACAGTGAAAAAGCCGGAGCCTGAATCAATTCAATCTTTGCAGGTTTCTCGAAACTGCATAGACTGAACCAATAATAAAATGAACTGATGTTCACTTTTGAAACTAGAAAGGCAACAAGACCCCTGCAGTGGCCCATACCAGTAATATGGGGCACTAGCACATGCCTCCCAGCCTGCTGGCTGCTGCCAAAGGCACCCAAATGCAGCCAAGTAGGGCTCATCCTTGATTGGCTGCCCATCACACATCCCCCAACCCTTTGCTGTCCCCACCATAGGGGAGCAGTCCCTCCAGCCCTGGCCTGGCTAGATCCTGAGCCTCAGTGGAGGTTCCCCACCCCCTGCAGGGTCCTGGAGCCCTGCCCCTGGTGCTGATAAGGTATTTCCTCCTTCCCACCTCTCAGTATGGTCCCACAGGACTTGGCCCTGCCCCAGAGGCAGGAGGGGGAACCATCCCTCCAGCCTAGGGCTGGCTGGATCCCTGAGACTCAGTGGGGGTTCTCTGTTCCTGGCAGGGTCCCCCAATCCCTGCCCCTGGTGCCAGAGGGGGGATTCCTCCTTTCCCCCCCATGGCCCAGCCCCTTGGAGGCAAATACAGCTGGTGAGAGGGTGGGGCTAAGGCAGGGATTTTCAGCCTTTTTTAAGAAATGTACCCCCGGCAGCCACAAGGAGCAGGGGAGGGGAAGGGGTACACAGTCAGACGCAGAGAGGCGTCAGCATGGGGCAGTGGGTGGTGGCAGTGGCCATGTGTGAGCTTCTCCCCACCCAGCTATGTGACTTGCAGAGGGGTGCCACTGCCCTCCCCCCCCCCCCTTCTTCTTGGCCCTGCTCCTGGGAGGTGGCAGCGTGGGGTGGTGGGTAGCCTTCCCAAGTACCCCAGGGGTACATGTACCCCTGGTTGAGAACACTTGGGCTAACAGATCCGAGCCCTGCCCTTGCCCATTCTGTTGCCCCTCAATGCGAAGCCACAGCCACCCCCAGCCCTGCTGCCTCTCATTCCCAACCCACTAAACCCAATCCTGCCAGTGCCCCACACTCCCAAACCACAGTGTCCTGCCCGCTGGGCCATGATGGTGCCCCTCACTCCCGACCTGCAGCCCCATGGTGCTGCCAGTGCCCTGCACTCCCGACCCACAGCCCCCCACCCCCTCCAGTTTCCCTCACTCCTGACCCACAGCCCCCTGCCCCAGCCCTGCCAGAGGGGCCACAACTGTCCCCGTCCTGACCGGGCTGGAGTGTGGTGGCTCCATCTCATGCAGGCAGTGGCACGTCTGGCCCCAGTGCAGGCTGGAGGGAGGAAGAGGGGAGGTTTGTGGTACCCCCCACCCTGTGATGGGGTGCTGCATCACACCAGTTCAAAGTGACATCTTGTGGACAAAGGGGTGAACTACAAAAAAGCCGCACCACCGTCTGGTGGACAAAGAGGCTCATTACACATCTTTGAGTGCCTCTGTGTTTGCACACAACAGATTCATGGACACAATGCTTTAATTTGGGGTAAGCTAAACTAAACTACATCCAGGCAGTTTTACTTTGACGTGCTGAAAAGACTTTTAAAACAGTGCGAAATCCTGCTCATGCAAACAGACATGCAGTTTCAGCACCTGAAAAAGGGCAAATCTCATGGTGTGTACATAGGCCCTAGGCTGTGGAGGGTGAAAAGCCTGGCAGAAGGGGCTTTCCTCTTCCTGCACCTTGCAGACCCCAGCTGGGGTTCAGTGCCACCCCCCTCCCCAGCCACTCAGAGACAGAGGTAGCTGAAGGGTTGATTTAAGGCAGAGGCAGGCAAAGTCCAGTCCATGGGCTGGATCTAGCCCACAGTAGACTCCATTTCCCAGCAGCCCCTGCCCATGCTGTCACCGCCACAAAATCCCTGCCTGGCCCCAGAGCAGCTCCCCGCCATGCTGCATGCCCTGCCATCGCTGCTGGAGTTGGTCTCCATGGAAACTCCAGCCCCGTGCTATCACAGTGCAGCTGCTGTTGGTGTCTCCATGGAAATCGGCCCCAACCACTGCTGACTGGATCCACCATTTTGCCCATTGCTGGTCTAAAAGGATTACAGCCTGACTTGAGGGTCTGTAGAGTTGAGGGGAGGAGGTGATAAGCCCCACAGAGGGTGCTTTCCCTCTTCTTGTGCTGTGCAGACTTGGGCTAGGGGGGCCTGGGGTCTGTTCCCCTGCCCCCTATACCACCAGGCTGACAGGCACAGGCAGAGGCTAGGAAGCAGAAGCTTTACTGCCTCAGCAATGTGAAAGCAGGGGTGCAAGGCCAGTCCTGCTCCACTGGAGCAGACAGCACAGCCTAGTTCTGCAAAGCATCCAGGGATGCTGGAGGACTCTGAGTTAACTTGAATTGGAAGGGGATCTGGGACAGAAGTTCCATAAACTGATTTGACATAAATCAGTTGTCTGATACTACATCCAGGTTTATCTTAAACTGGTTTCAGCCATTTTGAAAGCAGTTTATGTGCACTGAACTGCTGTTCTGTTACAGGTTTAAACTGGTTTCTGATCACTTAAACTGGTTTATGCGTGACTTCTGTTCCTAGCTGATTGGACCAACTGCATGGTCAGGCAAGACTTGGACAAACTTTCAAATGCAGTGCATTTGCAAACTGTTGAAGTATCTGCCTGTGGGTAACTGAAATACCAAATACCACTTTTTACGCATTTGGTGTGTACCATTTCTGCAATAAATGGATATGATTAAAAATGTTAAAAAGACCAGCTATCTGCTTACTAATCAGCACTTACTGCAGAAGCATGTATGTTAATGCATTCTAGGTCAGATTTGTTTAACTTGTAACAGCAGAGGGGATAGTAAATCTGAGGGAATTTATGCATTGCAGTGTATCTGCATTACTCTTAAAACTTCATCAGTTTGCCAAAAATTGCTAATAATCAGTGTAACAGATGTACATCTTTGTTTTGGGATGACAGTGTACAAAAAATCAGCAATGACACTGTCTGATCCAATGATTAACACCGTGGATCTGTGGGGCTATAGTAGTCATCTATAATTTGGTTTTAGGTCTGGTAATCCATATAATTCTCTGTGGATGCTTACCCAGATTTATACCTCTATGCTCATTCCCACTGTGAAGAGAGGACCACATGAGTCTTCTTTCTGATGGAGCTAAAGGGGATTACAGTAGTTTATATTTGTGTCTGTAATCATAGCCATTCACCTTAAGCAAAAACTTGCTGTGGTCCAGGATCAGTTCTTAGAAAGCAAGACATTCCAAACTTGCTAAGTTCTATGAAAAGCACAATGGACATTTATTCAGGGCATGGATCTGACCTTTTCAAAGGAAATATCACCCTATTACAACTTTTCTTTAAGCAGGAGGAAGGATTAGTTATAATTAAAGTACAGGAAAAAATTCTGTGCAAGTCACCAAAGAGAAGAAAAGTCAAATTATCCTTTGTAACTTACCCTAGTCACATCCACATTTCTTGAGCACCTGTGTCAGGATGCCCACTGAGACAAGAACTTGAATGCATTAATGAGAACTCAGCTGGCCGTCCTGTTAAATTTAGTTACTCCCTTCTTAGTTGAAAAAAGCTCCAAAGGACGTAGACTGATGGAATTATATTAAGTGACTGCTTTGCAGTGTAGCATATGGAGACTTCACATTTAAACTCCCACCAATATAAATGGAACCCAACAAACCATGCTGGAACTTCATATATATGGATATTTTTGCTAAACAAGGCTGCAGACAGTGAACAAGGGAAAGTGACAGAAGGAGTACTGAGAAAAAAGCCATTAAGACTGAAAGGGAGCTTGGCACTGAAGGGGAATCAGCCTCTCTGTTAGTTCATACTGAAAAATATCCATTAAATAGGAAAAAAAGAAATAAGCTTAAAGCTAAAGATCAAATCCACTATCTGACCACTGTATAAAAACTCTGGCATCACTAGTGAAAGTAGAAGCACTTACAATAAGAAAAATATCTGCTAGGAATATTAGTAATACAATGGAGAATTGTCTGTATGGTATACAGAGAAAAGAACAATAATTATGCTGCCCTGGAGAAGCGGACTAGTTGAGATTGGAGAGTAACGTTCCAGAAGAGAAAAGAACGTCAGTAGTAGAAGTGAATAAAAGTAGGCATATGTATAGTTTATATAATAACATGAGACATTTTAGAGCAAAGATAAATGAGCTAAAAATGTCTGAGATAGGACATGTCTGCGATGTGGCTGAACGTCAACATTTGTAATAGCTGGCTCCTGGAATGCTTGGCCATAGACCATGTAGAAAAGACAGATCAGTTCACAGAAGGGAGAGAGTAGCACTATATCTAAAAAATTCTGTAGAATTAAATGATAGGATGTTTCTGAATAGTGCAGACTATGCAGCAGAATCCATATGAATTTAAATCCCAGGTCACAATAATCCAAACACAGTAATAGGATTTTGCAACCAGTTTCTGGATAAAGGAAAGGATACTGAGCACATAATACTTAGGGCTATCAGAAAGGCAAACAAATCAAACAAAACAGTGATAATGATTTTTTTCAAATACCCACACTGGGACTCAAGTTTAAAGAAGCAGGTTTTTTTAACCTTAAACATTTGCTTCTAGGAACAGCTAGTTTTATGTTACACAGGAAGAGAAGTCATTCTCAACTTATAAGTCATAAGAAACAAAGATAAATTATTTAAAAATAACTATAATGAGGTAATAATGGTCATTATGTTCTTCATACTACTGTCTCTTAGGCAAGAGCTATGGGGACTTAGGAAACAATGCAGACAGCCCAGATTTCCTGTTTACTAAATAATGAGGGTTTGGGAGCCACATCAACAGCTTATCCTTCAGTCTGCCCTTGGAACAGAACAGGGTCAACTTTCTTTTGGGAATGGCAGGCAAAGTTAGCCCATTT